ATGTGAATTCACATTTTGGAATTTTGTGTAGGATTCTTTATGAAGGGGCCAGAATGTGAATTCACAGTTTGGGAAAAGGAAAATGTGCATTCACATTTTGGGAAAAGGAAAAGGTGAATTCGCATTTTGGGAGAATCGCGGGGCCCATTCCAAATCTGTCTTGGGGGTCGAGAAGTCATCGCTTGGGAACATGCGCGACCGTCAACCGCACAATCAAGGCACACTTGCACTCCTCTTCGCCGACCCACACGCAATATGCAAGAACGCCCGCACGCATGAACGATAATGGATGGACGGCGCGTGTGACCGCGCGGGCAACGCGCGGGCACGAATGACTGGCCATCAATGACCGCCAGCATTGGATGCCAATCGTACCCGATCACATACATGAGCGATACATGGAGCATACATGGGCCATTCAGCCCCCATTGAAGATCCCCCTGTTGCAGACCCCCTCTTTCGCCCTCCAAGATAGAGACTCGGCGATACCTGCGTTGTCAGCCCAGGATCGTTGATACCTCAAAGTGCGCCAGTATGCCAGCGTCATATTCAATGCATTAGTTTGTTGCCGACCATTGGTATATAATGGACTCGTGTGCAGCACCTTCACTAAAAACTATTGACGATGTCGGCGAATGTAGTACTCATGTCCTCCAACTTGTGCCGTGCCCCCATCTCGTTTAAATCGTTGTATATCTCGGAGCACCTCCTTTCCATTACGACGTACAGCTCCTGTCGTTCGTGCCCCTGCCGAAGGCAGCAGAACAGTGCTTCGCGATCTGGACGGGGAGCTCTCTCTCTCTCTCTCTCTGGGAGTGTCCGAAGGGCGGTGACAACTCTTGATACAAGCTGGACTGGTCTGTGGTCTCGTACTTCGCCGACATCATGCAGTTGAAGACGTCTTCCAACTTCACATAGTTCATTGCATCGCTCGATACAACCAACCATCTCCACTGGATCACGAATGTGGTCGATGTAGCTCGCATTATCGTAGCCCACATAGCTGGGCGGGTTCGCGTGTGTATTTGCTGCAGTGAGCTCCCGGCCAGATAAACAAGGGCGTAACTGCATGGTCGCGAACCTCTCCTTGCCGTACCTTCATGGTCCAGCAACTGTGTCCTCACTATTGCTGGGAAGCCCGCCAAGGGGATAATCTCCTTGCGCGGCATCTCTTCCATCGCTTCCTGAAACCACTTCACATTTGTTGGCGGGCCTTCTCGCATGTTCTTCTAAGCTGGGTACTCGTCTGGCGTGGAGGGAAGCACCTTGCGACCAGCCCGATGGATCCACCCCGGGTCTGGAAGCTCACTGCAGCACATCTTCCCCGCAACATGGTGGGCGTAGGGAATGTACGTTTTAGTGTGGGCCGCCGAAACCTCGAGCGTTTAATAAGAAAACGGATGCCACACGCAGCTGTTGCATAAGCGTTTCTCCGATGTCCAAATTCAATCGTCCAAGTATCATCAATCGTTCGAGTCTCGTTGACCAGCTCATCCTACGATTCAGGCTGTGTGCCCACGAGCGCGTACATGTCCCGCTTCGGTAGCGCCTGGATTATGTCCTGCAGCCTCTCTGTCGTCCTGGCGGCGCACGGGTTATAGCAGACAGCTCTCATCAACCCGCTCTCACCGTTCATGAAGTCCGCAGGGCAGAGCCGCCGCTGCGCGGCCCTATTCTCGAGAAGGAAACAACATGGCCCGCTGCTGCTGCGATGTTAGTCTGTTTCCTGTAGGTGGCTGGGGTAGTGTGGTGGTGGCTCGGGCCACCTGGAGGAGGAAGAGGCGGAGGAGGAGGAGGAGGAGGAGGAGGAGGAGGAGGAGGAGGAGGAGGAACAGGAGGAGGAGGAGGTGGAGGGGGGGAGGAGGAGGAGGAGGAGGAGGAGGAGGAGGAGGAGCGCGCGCAGCCGCGGAGAGCGGGGTCAAGGACCGACGACAACGACGAGACGACAGACGACGAGGCGGCGCCCGGGCGCGGCGTAGCCGCGCGCCCCAGGGCCGCGTTGCAGCGGCGCTCGCGGGCGCTTCCGCCTGAGCAGCTCTCGGGCGGTGTTCCATGCCACCACTGCTGCTGAGTGGGCGGGCCAGGCCCCGCGAGCGATCTCATTTAGATTGTGGTGGCCGGCCTTACCAAGGGGTTTGCATCGCTGGGCCAAGCCCCGGAGCACCCCCCCTTCCCTGGCGGCCACCATTCCACATGCAGTGCAATAAAGTATGAGAATCACAGGATGGGCCTCGACATGGTGGGACTCATGGGGCCTCCTGGTTCCCACTTGGAGGGTCCGGTGAGCTCGCGGGATCCGAACCTGGGGAGCGCCCCCGCCCAAACAGGGGGAGGCCAACCAGGCCTTGATCTCCTTGGAGCCTCCCGTCCCCGAAAGGCACTCCGTGCAGCACAGCCTCCAGGAGCCCCGAACACCCTCACCCATTTTGAGAGTGTGTTCGGAGGCCAGCATGGCCCTCTGGAGGCTCGTCAGACGGGGCTGTGGTGGCGGAGGCTGTGCTCTCTCAGCCCTCTGGCGCACGTCCACCTCGGCACAATGCTCCATCACCACGGCCAGGCGGTGTCGCACGAGCGCGGCCTGGGCCTCCACCTGGGCCACTCGCTCCGTGTCGGCACGGGCGTGTTGGCAACGCATGGCGGCCATCTCAGCAATATGATCGGCATGGTCGTTGCCGAATCTCCACAGGGCAGGGATGGCTAGCTCTGCGGCGCGGGCGTCATCGGCGTGGCTCTCGACCTTATGTAGGTGGAGCTCGAAACCTACATCTCGGTGACACTGAAGGCCCCAAAACTGTCGCCATAGGTCGCGATTCCGCCTAGGCAACTTGCGGGGCCTCTTCCTGACTGCTTTCACCACGTAGCTGGAGTCAGCGATGTAGTGGCAGCGACGCTCGGGCCCCCCGGAGGAGGGAGCAGGATCATGATGATGATGATGCTGCTGATGATGATCACACGCCCTTAAAGACGGGTTCCCGAGATCCACACGACTCAGAAGCGCCACCACCGGCCGTCACATCGACAGTTGGTGGGGTAGAACAGAGAGAAGCGAGAGGGGCGAGAGCATGAACACAGAAAAAGTAAGCAAATAGAAGAACCCTTAATGATAAGCTGAACCCAGTGTGTGACTAGCCCTCAAGGAGGTGTTCACTTTTGAATAGTCAATGAATTCAAATAGAATGAGAGTAGTGAAATCACATTGAACTGAGACGACAACCCGCAGAGCGACGTGGGAGATCCCTTGATCAGAAGCCATTGAGGAGGAGGAGGAAAAGGAGGAAGAAAAGGAGGAGGAAGAAGAGGAGGAGGAGGAGGACGGGTCGCCTTAGCCTTTCGGAAAAACCTCCATCGAAGGCTGGCAACATTGTCTCACGAGGGCCGGCCGCAAGATGGCCCAACCGAGCTTCCAAGAAGCTCCCAGATCGAACGATTCAGTCGGGGCGTTGACGTAAGGAACCCGAAATAAGGATCGAGGCACCATTTCCCCCCAAGTTGAACTTCGATTTGCCATCGAAAACGGCAGGAAAACCTAAGGCAGGCTGCGGAACAATGAAGGAACACAGAGCCCCTCCCCAACGAGAACGGTTCCTTCTTCAGCGCCCCGACAGTACGTGACGGCATGTATGGTTGCTTCCTGGGCCTGCCCGAGATAAAACTCCAGGGCCTCCGCTTGCCCGCTGCCCCCCCCCCTCCGGATTCCTCGGCCTGCTCTTGCACATCCCTGATCGAGGCAGCTCGCCTGGGCATCGTTTCCTGATTGGCTGGAGTGGGCGGGGGAGAGGGACGCGCCACTTCTTCTCGCGGCCCTTTCGGGCGTCCGCTTCGGGGGGACGGTCCAGCCAGGGAGCCACCAGGGCCGAAGCAGAGAACGGGAGGATGAGGAGGAGGAGGAGGAGGAGGAGGAGGAGGAAGAAGAAGACAAGGAGGATGAGTAAGACAGAAAACAAGGGGGGGGAGGAGGAGGAGGAGGAGGAGGAGGAGGAGGAGGAGGAGGAGGAGGAGGAGACGTAACCTGAGGTGCGCCGATCTATCTGGAGAAGGGGGAGAGCCTCGCCAACATCAAGAAGTGTAATGCGGGGCAAGAGGCCCGACCGATTATGAATGAGCGGCGTGCTGGTGCTCAACGGCCAGAGGCAAGAACACGGATTTGCCACGATAACTTCTAGCATGAACTCCCCGCCCACACACACCAGGCGGACGTCAAGTCAGGTCAGGTCAGGTCAAGAAGTCCATGACAACTTCTCGATGAGGAAAAAGTCGCGGGGATGAAGCTAATATAGCCCAAGCCTGCAGCCCCAAACAGGGCTAACTGAGAAACAAACCCACCAAGGTCCTGTCGAACAGTGGGGCATAACTCCCAGGGGCAGAAATAGGGACGCGTCAAATAGGAAAAAACGAGCACATGAAGATCAACTCGGAGGATGAGGCAAGGGAGGAAGAAGAGGAAGAGGATGAGGAGAAAAAGGAGGCGAGGGAAAAGGAAAAGGAGGGACATGAGGGGGAGAGAACGGAATGCGGGCGGGGCTGGGGAGGATAAGCGTGTGGCAGGAAGTGGACTAGGGAAAAACGGCCTGGACCCTGAATGTCTGGCTTTCGGGCCACAGCTCTGCTCTCCGGCGGCCGTTCGGGGCGATCTGGGCACCTCTGGACTCTTCTCGGCGAGGCGCAGCTGCTGGAGAGCACCTTGAGTCTGGAAAACCGCTGGCGGCATGCGAAAACGCGTCAAAACCTCGAGCCCCGAAAACCGACCCCTCGGTTCAAACATCCCCCCCTGGACCTCTCCTGGACTGCGTTCTGCCCAGAGTTTCGAAGCGTGTCTGGCCGTACCCATGAGCGCGCCCCAGGACGATCAACACCTTCCGGAAAGCAATACCTGATCCTTGAACCGCGAACCTCGGGGAATGGACGAAAACGTGGGTATAACCCCAGGGGGATGCGTTTCTATTGCGTGGTTATGCTCATCGCGCTTGAATCGCACATTTGCCGGCCCCGCGCGGGCGCGCCGAACATGTAGGCGCTCCCGTGCTGCTCGGAGGCGTCGTCGCCCTGCACCTCGGCGGGCGATTGCCGTCGTTCGCCCCGCGCCCCTCCCTCTCCAGGCGAAACAGCTGCGGGAGGATGAGGACGAGCAGCGACAAGTCCAAGGACGACGAGAGAAGCTCGGAGTTCCGACGAGGCGGAAGAGGATAAATGGATGAAGGATGTGGAGGAATAAGAGGGGGGCGACGACGAAGAACAGAGATTGTGCGGGGGGTGGTCGGCGGCAAGAAAAGAGCATGGCTGCTAGGCGGCTCCTTCATTAACAAGCTCATCACTCGCATACACTTAGGAGCTGCGAGCCCAGATTTCAGCTAGGCATCCTACTCGAGTCGGGATTGCGCGGGCGACCGAAAAGCCCTGGCGGAGCAAAGAAACGAGAAAAAAGAAATGCCAGAACTGTCCGACCCACGCGCACCCCCCCAATCCGTGGAGGATACCAGGCTGCCACCTGGGGGGCGCGCGCTGGGCGTGGCGGAGCGCGCTCGTTCTCTTAGGAACGGCGCAAAAGACCTCGCCTGAATAGGTGCGAAGCAGAATGCCAAACGACCGAAAGACCGAGCGAAGCTCGACGCGGTGCGACGCGCGACACGCATGGATGATGGAACGGGGATGCGACGTAGATTGTTGCGGGGAAAATGAACGTTTCTCTTTGAATGTGCGCGGCAAATGTTGTCGCGCGCCTCGCCTCGCCGCTCAGTCCACGCCCTCCCCCGCGTCGCGTCGCCATGAGCGGGCGCGGTGCAAGCAGGGCGGGGGCCCGCGGCGGCGTCGTCCACGGCGGTCTCCTCCGCGTCCTCGGTGGGCAGGACCTTCTCCTCGTCGGTTTCTCCTCGCTGGCGTCGGCGGCCATGTCGTCGTTTTCTCGCCGACGTCAGCGACATTGCCTGCCTCTGCACTGAATGTTGCCGACCAGTTCGCGTCCGGCGCCTTCTTGCCCTCGAGGCAACCGCGGCGCGTCTCCGTTTCTTCTGGGGCCCGTGCGGGCTCGGCCGTGGGAACCTCCGCCGCCTTCAGGATCTTGCCCGCGCCGTCCATGCTGCCCTTCTGGCGCCGAACGCGCCGCCCCTGGCCGCGTCGGCCGATGGGCGCCCGCGGCCCCGGGGCAAGCCGGAGCGGGCGCGCGTCAGTGGCCCGGGAACCGGGCGCCCGCGCGCCGCGCCCTGGCGGCGGCCCGGGGGGCAGAAGCGGCTTTACCACTGGCTCTGGCCTGGATGTCCTGCCCTCCAAATCCAGCCAGCGAGAGCGCAGCCGAGGACGGTGCTCAGCGGCCTCGGCGTCCATGGCCAGCATCGGGCTCTCGAGCGCGCAGGGCCGGTCTGACCCGGCCGCAAGCCGCCGGCGGCGGCGCCAAGCAAGGCGGCGCGCGCGGCTGAGCGCGCCTGTCCACTGCGCCGCCGCGCGCTGGGGCACCAAAACCACTGGCGGCGGCGCTGGCTTTCGCTCCGCCGCGGGCAACTCGTCGGCGCCCAGCCCGCGCGGCACCGGTCGCTCATCATCCGCGCCTCTCGCCCGCGCGCCACGATCAACTCTGGGCTCGAGCGGCCGTCCAAGAACGACGCGGGCCTGGCGACGCCCTCGGGACAGGACTTGGACGCGCGGCGCTCGGCGCGCAGGCGGCGGCCGATGCGGGCGGTGTCCTGCAGCTCGCCGGGCGAGAGGGGCCTCGCCGTGATCTCCTCCTCCGCGTCTTCCGCCGCCTTCTCGTCCGCCTCCGAGCGCGCGATGGGCCCCCTATCCATCTGCGGCGCTGGCGCCCTCGACTTGCCCATCGCCCGCGCGCGGTGGCGCGTTGGCCGCGGCGGCGGACGAGGCCGAGGCGATGCCGACGGGCGAGGGGCGCCGCCATGTCCGCGCGCGGCGGCAGGGGAGCGCGACCGAAGAGTGCGGCGGCGCGATGGGAGAGAATCGTCGCCCTCGCGGCTGCGGCGGCGAGGCCCCGGCCCTGCCGAGGCGGGGGCCTCTGTCGCGGCGGCGGCGACCGCGGCGGAGGTGGATCGCGGCGTTTCGGCTCGGCGGCAGGTAGCGGGGCCGCCGCGGGGCCAGCCTTGGCGGGAGCGGCCTGGGCTGGCGCTCGACCGCGGCGCCGCGGAAGCGGGCTGGCGCCGCTCGCCTCGGAGGACGGCGGAGCGGCCGGCCTCCGAGCATCGGCGCGCCCGCGCGCGTCGCCCCCCCGGGCGCGAGAGCGGGCCTCGCAGGATGCCAAGCGGCGCAGCGCGCAAGCGACCAGCGCCGCGCGGGGCCCGCGAACAAAACGCGCAAACGGCCGCGGACGTGGCACACGCATGCGCGCGTCAACGTTCACGCGCAAATCGCATCGCGCACTGCTGCTCGTGCCTCTGCACTTCCCACTACCACGTCCACGCGGCGCCTGCCGCGTCATCCCTCTCACCCAAGTGACGCGATGCGAACGCAGCGAGCGCGCCGACCTTCGCCAGCGCGAGACGCGGCACTGGACTTCCAAAGGATAGATGCGGAAGGAGGGAGATTTGGGTCATCCTGGACGAGCACCGCGGTCACATTGATCATTGCTGTTTGTGTCCCTTCGTGGGCATGCGCTCATGGCCAGATAGCGCGGTGGGCTTGCCCGCGGCGTTGAGGGCGACGGCGCGCGGAACGCGGTCTCTCCTGCGGCGCCCGCTGGAGATAGAGTGGAGCGCCGCGCGGTCGACGCAGCACTGCGCGAGTCCATGCGTAGCCGCGTCGCAAGCGCCCCCGCAGCGCGGGGCCGATAGCTGGCCCGGGCACAGGAGGCCCCAGGGCCTCAGGAGACGCAGCAACAGCGAGTGCTCTGCCGGAGGCTTGGGCCCAGTGGCCGCCGCGGCGGCGACGGCGCCCGCGGGGCCGAAGCAAAGTTCGAGCTGCGCAGCCGAAGCCTGCTCCCCGACTCGCTGGCACGGCGCGGCGCGGCGCATGGACCGCTCGGCCCTCTCGCCCCCGCGCGGCGCGCGGCGGCGGCCGCCAGGCCGCGGCCCGCGGATGAGATCGCAGCCATCAGCTCACTCGTGAAAGCGAGCGCTTCCTGTCACCACCCTGAGATCTCCACGATGCCCGTCTAAGAGATGGCAGGGGGTGACGCCAGTGAGCGACGCCGGCGTCGATGGCGAGGATGCGGCGCCCATGCGAAAGAGCGCTGCGTCGCGTAGGTCGCGACCTGCACGTCTGCCCCCCGTCTTTCGCAGAGAGCCGCGTCGGGGTGGATTTCCGGACAGCCGCGCACTTCATGGCTACGCACGGTGGGTTAGCTTGCGCCCATTTGAGCGCGACGCCTTGAGTTTCCGGACGCGGCCGCGCGCGGGCACCGCCTCGCGGCGCAGCTGCGCGACCGCGTAGACGTCAAGGCCAATCCTCGCGACGAGGGCGAGCGCCAAAGCCGTGGGCACGCCGAGAAGCAGCCTTGCTAGGCCACTGGGTGCGAGTCCAGAATTACGTTTTCCAACGAGCTCAGCACTGCCTAGAAGTTTGGGAGCTTGCATGTAGTCGGTCTGGTCTAATAACTAGCAAGCGCCATCGCTGGTCGGCGAATGTCGCCACCCGCAGCGCATGAAAGCTCCTGCAGATATATGCCCGGCTCGCCTTCGCCGAAGGCGCCACCAAAACACTTGCGAAGCCTAGCTTTCTCTTCAAGAGTTCCTGCCACCTTGATGCCGTCAACGTGTTTAGTCGCTATAAGAGACAGAGTTCGCCGTCGCGGTGCTTGGCGATGAACTCGTCGTCGCGGAGCAGCGACGGCCTGGCGCGCGCCGTCGGTGGAATGTGTGAATTGGGCGGGCCAGCATGCCGACGCATCCGCGCAGCCGGTGCCTGGTTTCTCCACGTGCAGGCCTCGAGTGCTGGATCGAAGTTTTCGAATCATCTGATTGCGTGGAGAGCTGCAGCAGCGCTGGCGGATGTCTCGAAGTTGACTTCGCGCTGATCCTCGCCCGTCGCCTGTGCGATGTATGTGTAGCTGACCCCATGTAGGAGCGCTCGCTTGAGATCCACGCGTCGGTCGCCCATCCTCGGCGAGCCGCCTCAGGGACGCTCGCTCACTTCCATGTGCCTATTCACTTGCAGCCCAAGATGCCTGCGAATCCCCGGCGCGGCCGCCGTGAGCAGCAGTCGCGGTCCGCCCAGGCTTGGAGTTCCTCGAGCACCACCGCGGTCGCTGTCGCGGCGTGCTCTTGGAATTCGCAAGAGGTGAGTGTTGGTCAGCGTCGCGTTCGATCACAGCCTCCTTTGACTGCGCGACAGAGCCCCTGAGTCGTGCACTGCAGTTGTCAGCTACTGGAGGCCGATGCTTCAGTTGTACACTTCCTCGGGTGCCAGTATCTCTACATGATCATTGCAGTGATCGTCGTCGTCGAAGCCCTCCGGTGGCTCGAGAGGCTTAGCGTCAAATGCTAGGTGGTGGTGGCGCGGCTGCATTGCGGACCCCAACGCGCACGAAGGCGGATCTGACGGGGCGGGCCGTCGCTCGGCCCCCCCAGAAAAGGTTGAAGCTCACTGCGCCTGCCACAAGGAGATCCTGCGCGACGATATGATTTTCTGCCGCCATGGATGCCCACCAGGTCGATTCGGCGAGGTGCGCGTCGCTCGAAGAATCCTCGTGGGACCCTTCCTGAATGGTGGAGACCTCGCCGTCGTCATGGGCAGTCTCGTTCAGGTGCGCGCCAGCCTCAGAGGCGTCGGCACCGCTGGGAGCTCTTGGCCCAGATGCCCTTGCCACGGAAGGTGTCGACCACCCTGCCGAAGGTGTCGTCCGTGGAGACCTAATCGCCTGTCGTATTCATCAGCTGGCGCCCCAGGTCGGACGTGAACCGCGTGCTGATGCTGTCCTCGAACAGAAAATCCCCATAGCGTGCGTGGAGCGAGGCATACTTGTACATGCCGAGGTCTTTTTCTATAAGCGAGGCCATATTGAACACGCCCTGGTGCCACAAGAAGCCCCCGTGGAGCATCGACACGGCCTGTAGGGCTATAGGGAAGGCATC